AGCATGAGTGCGACAACGCAGGCCAGGAAGCACGGAATAACAGCACGCATCCCTCCAATAAAGGTCGGGCGGCGTCCGTGCTGCCTTCAACAATAATTCCACCCCAAATCACCCCTCTGCATATCCGCAGCAAAAAGGCCCACACGGTGTACACTACATTAGAGGTTCCTAAAGCGCAAAACCGGATCACCGGAGCGCTGCCCTCTTCTCAATGTTGAGTAGAGGCTCTCTGATCATTGTCGCCGCCAGCCCGCGGTATTATGGAGGAGCATTACGTTCTCGGCATATCTCTCCATTTACTTCACCTTCCCGACGCCGCAAATGAAGTGATGTCCCACAAGCAATTTCGACCGTTCTGAAGAACGTGAGGTATCAGACGCGATGAAACTGTGTGCGTGTGTCTTATTACGGACGAGCGACACGATGCTCTCGCACATCCATGTATTCCAATCCTGCGCAACACTCCATTTGGCGGTGCTGAAAAAGTTGGACACCAATCACGCACAAATCGCACAATGAATGCCTCTGGAGAAAAAAAACAAATAACGTCAACACAGACACAGTGACCAAACAAAGTAACAAAAGAAAACCAACCTCTGCGCGTCCTCCCGCAAGAAGGTGAAGACACACACGCTTTTCCCCTTATTTTCACTCCAACTCCTCAAAAGTTGATAGGTCTATAGTAGGAGGAAACACGCCACTCTTCCCTCGCTCCCTGTCACGAGGCATGGACGCTGCGAGAGGCTGCCAAGATGAGCCACACGTGTGTGGAGGGCCCCAATGCTCGGGGCAGGTCGACAGCCACCCACACTCACCCCCACTCACCCCCACTCACAAAAGGGCAAAGGCAAGGACATGGAGAAGAGAAGCCCGCCGCACAGTGCATTCAAGAAGGCACACGTAGAAGCACCGCCATCCACATCGTACCGCAAAACAGCAATGCGAACAGCACACCCACGGCCGCTACAAGAGGAACGAGGCGCATCCAATTCCACCACAGTCCTTTACTTACCCCTGCCCCGAAGGAATAGCGTTACGCCTCACAGCAGGTCTTGGTGGGTGGCGTCCCACACTCACAGTGAGGCACGGCGCACACCATCCGCTCCCTTCCGACTGCACTCATCAGGGCGCCCAGTCACCCTCGTACCATCGCAATGGGTAAACACAAACAATCATCGTCGCGGACTATCGATGCCTCTAGCAGAAAAGAAAAAGTAATGAGGGAGTGTCAACTGCACAGCTAGCAGTGGGACACCCAATGGGACAAAAAGACACATAGTGGCATTCAACACAGCAAATAATAAAACAAGCCGCAGCGAATTGCCAAATACAGAAAACCAAAAAAAAAAGGCGTAGATTCAGCAGAAATAAATAAATAATTAATTAATTATAATAAGGAAAAAAAAAAAATCGCCTCAGTGGACTTTCATTTTATGTATCCCTCAGCGCAGCAGGAATTGTGCATCTCCATATGTTTCTTACAGAGAGAAAAAAAAGATCGCAGTGTTCCACGTGTCCACACGAAATCCCTCATTTCATGAGGCACTCGGCCTCTTCCTCCACCCCTCGTTTTGTACAGTCCGCGGGACTGCACAGCAATGAGGCCGGCACCGCGTGCGGTGCAACAAAAGCAAATAAAACAGGGGGAAACACGTCGCTCATGAGAGTGTGCAGCTAGCGGAGAACGAAAAATAAATTTAAAAAAATAGTAAAAAGGCAGGGGTTCTGATCCCTCCAACAAGGCACCAGGAGCACATTATATCCAGAGGTGAAAACAAAAGGGATTTTTTAAAAGTCCTCAACGGAGTGCATTGAGTCTTCCTGAGGAGCTGCACACTCTTTTCCACGGAGGGTCGCGACTCCACTCCCACCGTCTCACACAGCTGAGAGCTGCAATGCCCACAGCCCCAGAAAGAGGAGCAACAAGATCCGAGGCACACACACACACGCACCGTGCCGTAGCCACTAGAGCCCTTCTCCAATAAAGTGTTGTTCGTGAGCTGAGAGGCGTTTCCATCTTTGGAGCCACTGCCAGTTCCCGCTGGATCATCCGGCCCTTCAAGCATTTTCCCAGAAAGAGACTCTGGAAGAGCAAGGTTGCTGGCACCAACTTTTGTGGTTTCTTCCCTGGTCAATATGCGGTTGTACAAAAAGACACTCGTCACTGTCACATACTTGTTTTGGCTCCCGGTGTCGCTTGCACTGCTTCCATCCCCTCCAATGTAAAAGTGTGAATTCGCGCGTGGCCCCTTTCCCGATGGTGATGTCGTTTCAGCATCCCACACACACACTCACCATTGATCTATACGAAGGCCTTGTTGCCGGTCCTGCAGCGTGAGCTCCACTCGTTATTGTTTGTTCAACTCCCAAAAGCCGTTGTGTTTGTTTGCGTTGAACATCACCCCCCAACTCCTTTCATGGCTGTGCGACAGCCAAAAGTGCACAGTGCAACCTGCTTCCTTCACGCCAATCAAAGGGATACTCTTGACGCCTGCGTTTTTCTCGCGAATAGCCACCGTCGCCACAAGAGCGAAGTCGTAATTCACAAAGCCACAGTGATTATTATCCTCCCAACGGTTCACGGGTCAATGTTGCCCGTGAATTGAGGCCCATTTGTGGCATTCTTGCCGTTCGTCACCGTTGCAATCACGCAACGGCACTCGTCGATACACGTGTTGGCAGTGCCTGCGTTGGGCAGATATCCAACCAGACCCACCGTACTTACGGGCGACGCGGAGAAGGAAGCGTCCACGTCCGCCCAATTGCGGAGGATGGAAGTGATCATCCGCAGCTCCTCCGTCAGGGAAGGCAGAAAACAGGCTGCTTTTCTCTTCATTGTGCCTCGCTCCCACAAGGTACAACGCACCATCCGAGTACAGCAGGGCGTTGGCAATCGGCTTATTCACAGCAGCGTCCATAGAAGCCGGTCCAACACAAAACACGCGGTTGCTGCCAGTCACCCAAACGTAGAGCACATGGGCCTCACTCTCCCACCACGGGGAGCCCACTTTCCAAGCCTACAGCACGACGCTCCTTCCTCCAACGGTCGCAGTGGCAATGGCTCCCACACGCAAGCTCATGTCCCAACGACCCGATTGTGAATTGGCCCAAACGCCTGCAATTGCCCCGGGTAATTCCACCCACATTGTCCCCTTGTCACGTGACTCGTGCACTCTGCAGTACCGGCTCCCATAGCAATGAGTAATCACGAGAAGTTGTCCCTGTTCCCACTCGGCAATGAGAAGGTCAATGGAGTCCACAGGAAAAATGCCCCTTGAAAGCACTCAGCTGCTGCCGCCGTCCGTCGAACAGATGATCATGGAGAAATCGTCTTTTTCGTCATTATACGCAATCACGGGGACACAAGCGTGCCATTCACCAAAACACCTGAGCCGCCAAAACCCATCAATCCATTCGCGCCGCGTTCGTGAGTCTCGGGAATGATCTGTGATCACAGCAATTTGGGTTCACACCAGTGGATCAGCTCGCTCCGTCTGCCGTCATTGGGCTGCGTGAATTCACCCACAACCAGTTAAACATTACGGTCCCTCAACGCCCAATTGAACCCACCATTCGTACCAAACTTTTGCTAGCTTCCCGCACGAAGAAACGCCCTATTGCCGCTCTCAATTGTCGTGGGATTGGACGCGGAGCCTACACCACCCTTTATATTCGCTGTGCTCAACACGATGTGTTTATTCCGGCCATTATCAAACTCGCCAAAAAAAGACGACAAATTCCACGCAAAAAAGATGGAACCCGCCACAATATCCGCATGAGAAAGCCCACTCGGTGCCCCATCGCTATCATTAAACATCGTGCAACCCCCATCAAAGGCAACCGTCACTCCACAGACACCCACAAGAGCGAGCGATCCAAACAAATCCCTCCTTCCACTTGCACCAGTCCCACCCTTCGGTTCCAAATGCGTTCGTCCCGGAACAAAAATAAAGGCCACCCACGGCAGCCGCGCAGTCACTTAATTCTCCCCCGTCGATGCGGCCGCAGCTCCACAGGTGGCGCAGCACATCGTCACGACGAGGAGTAGCGGCACCGCAAAAGAAAACACACGCCGGGACATGTTGGGCCTCTGCGGCTCACTCTCTCTTCCTTCCCTCCTCCTCCCGCTGGATCCGGTCACACGGCAACGGTTGTGTGTGCGGGGTGCCATCACTGCAGCAAC